GGGGATTGTTTCTGGCATTGTTCTTAAAGTGTGTAGAATAAGCTGTGTGCTTCAGCAGTTACTCTCAAGGTGCCAATTTCCTAGGCAGCAGGTATAGCTTTGGTTCTGAAGCTCACTTGCTTTGGAAGAAGTTCCCAAACATTAAGAGAGATTTATGTGCATTACTGAGGTCTTTTTTCATGGTAGCTAGCCACTAGATGGGCTTAACTATGATCTCAAACTGCACCCAAATTGCAGCACAGGTTCAGTTTTTAACTTCATTTGAGTTGAATAGTTTGACAGACTTCCTCTATGTATGTGGACTTCCTCTAAGGCCATTCTAGTGCCTCTTTGGTTTTGTAATTTCTTTAGATACACCAGGTTTAATCCTGACTCAGGAGAATTGCTAATTAATTGATTTTACTTACTTGTAGTATTCTTCTCTTACTCCAAACTACTACATTACTACATTTTTACTGGCCTGACGCATGTGTTTCTTGATAGCCTTGTGTGTTTACTTTTTTCTGGAAGTTAGCTTGCTTAGTGTTCTCCTTGCGGCCTTGCTCCAAATTGTAATGTTACAGGGCAAAGAATACTTGCTGCTGCTTAATAGTAGATGCAAGATGTAATAGTATTTGGTGTAGCTTTATCGAATACACATTTTGCTTTTGTTGGAGCTGTGCTGTTACTTCATACATACTGTTGTTCACTGGAGTGTAAAGAGAAGGGGGATTTGTGTTTTGGCATGGGGTTTTTTGTTGCTGATTTTTGGTTAGTTCGGTTTTAAGCATAATCTTTATTCCCTATTGCAAAGTTTTTCTCCAAGGAAATAGTCAACTTCATACATACTTGGTGTAATCTCTCAAGCTGATACAGTGCTGGAGGAGAGCAGCTACTTGCCTCCAGGTTTGAACAGGATCTTCCAAGCTGAAGTAATCACTGGGGAATTTTTGGCCAAGAGTTACAGCTGATGTTTGCCTCTGATTTAAGGACAGTAATTTACTGTTTTCCATGTATAAAATAGTTTGACCCGCATCCTAGTTGTGATGCAATGTAAAATATGGGTTTTAAATTATCTTCTTAATTTAGTTCTAGAAAGCCTGCAGATTTGGTTTGTGAGCAAACTGACAAGTTAATGAGAAATCTTGAACTGTTACAGCCTGATTCTCTAACCAAGTCGATGCACATCTGCTTATGCTTAGTCCTTTTGTATAGAAATAGAAATTCCCATGTCTGATTTGCTGGTATATAACTGTGATGCTTGTTTGGGAGTTAAAGTAACTCAAGTTCCTATCCAGGAAAAAATGATGTCTAACTTAATGCAGCATTGGAAAGGCATGCCTGGTGAACTTGCAGGATCTGTATCTTTGGTTTTGACACTAGGGATTGCAGGTTAGGTACAACTGAATCTTTAGCTAGCAAGTGTAATAACTTAGAGCTAGCTGGGACCCCATGGCATTTCCAGAGAGTGGTGTATATCAGATGTCATGTCTGGATGTAAAGGTCATTTCTAGCATGTTGTAAAACTTGATTCAAGACTTCTAGAGCCTTCTCAGCTCTTACAGACATGATAATCTGTCTTGAACATGTGTGCCTGATAATTACAGGAAACAACTGATAGTAAGTTAAATACATACATACATATTTATCTTTCAGGTCTCCTGTGCATGTTTAAAAATCTATAGGTAATCAGCTATAGTGTGCATATAGGGTAGAAATTTATTTGTTTTTTCAAATCTCTGATAAATATTGTCAGGGTAAGATGATGACGATTCAAATTTAATTAATTCAGAACTGTTATTTAAGATCTCTGCAAGTAATTGCATTAAAAAATACCCCACACCAAACACAAAACCCAAAACCAACAGTTGATTTTTGAAAATTCATAGAGGACATCTGGTTTGTGTATACCATCTTGTGATAAAAGCAGTCACAGTGTAGCCTGAAAGGGACGGTACCTCCGTTTTGGTCTCTAACCTGCCTCTAATTAGGGGGAACCTTTTAGGAATTTAGAAAAGTAATTAATTGAATAAGCAGCATGGAATGGAATACACCCATTGTTCTTGTACTTCAATTTCCTATTAGAGGTCTCCAGGTACTGAAATCCTCTAATTTACCTAGAGCGGGCTCATTTGTGTGTTGTTTACCTCATGCTCAGTATGAAGGGATTGTTCAGTGAAAGGTGAACTCTTTTTAGTGTAATATATGATTTTTGCAATGACATTGAAATTTTGGCTTTGTAAGGAATAGGTAGGTATTAAGAAAATGATAGTAATGAATGGTCTTTAATATATTCCAACTAAGAGGTATTTGTTCTCCAAAGTAAGGGTATTGGTTCAACTCACATTTTATAAAAGTATTATTCTTTTCTTTCATCTTTCTTGCACTATTCTTCGTAAGAGTAGTGCTTCAGTTTTTCTTTCTTGTGTGCTTGTAGTACTGTTCCACATAGGTGACGAAGTTGTCTTTTTGGATGAAGGCAGTTCCTCCTGTGTTCCTCCTGCTGCAATGATGAGTGGGT